GAGGCGATGACGTCGCGGCCGAGACGGTAGGGGTCTGTTGAGCCCATTTTTACTTTGTAGTATGTGAGGTTGGTGGGTGGATAGAAAGATAGTAGGGTTGGTGAGAAGTGATAGTGTGTGTGTATGTTGTATGGCTTGATGATGAGATGGATGGATATGTGGCAGCGGTGGAATGATCTTAAATCACTGGCAGTCATACATCTTGACTCCATTCAAATTCAATTCGTGTAGTATAGTTTGTGTATACAGTCCCTAATCCAATCAGAAATCATACCGCATGCGGGCCTTAATTAGCTCTCCCGCCGTGGAGGGAGAGTAAGATACTAGGGCGCACATGGCAGTTAGCGTTGCCGCTGGTGATGCTGACATCCGCGCGAGTCTGAAACAAGTACTTCGGCATCCTGATACTCCTTCAGCATCCTGCAAGAGAATACGAGGACAGTGATAATCAATCGCTGATATACCGATATGGCATGACTTGATAATCATTGATGGACTGATCAGCAGTACCTCAATCACTGTATTTAAAAGTTAGAAGTAGTCCAAGAAAAACACCCATCTACTATCCCACCACAGACATCTCCATAACCCTATACAATCTACTCGAACAACCAACCACAAATATTCATACCTAATCAACCAACCAACCCTCACCATGGCAGCAAAATACCCCCTGATCGAAGGCATCGACATCCACAACCCCTCCCCAACCCACGAAGCCAACGCCGCCTTCCTACGATCCTTCCCCATCGACCGCGCCGTCTTCCGCCTCTATGCCCGCTCCCCAGGAACCTTCCTCCCCATCATGTCCGTCCTGGACAGCATTCTCTCCGGCGAAAAGCGCACCATTCAACTCCTCGACTACCAGCTCATTGTCCTCCGCATGACGGGCCTCATCAACGCCGAGTACCTCTTCGGCATCAACGAGCCCATCTCGCGCCTTAACGGGCTTGGCGACGATAAGATCGAGGCTCTGCGCAAGGGTCTGTCCTCGAAGGAGCTAATTGCTATGGGCACGTGGACAGAGCGCCAACAGTGTATTCTGACGCTGGTGGAGGAGTCGATCCGCACGTATGACAATAACGAGGAGACGATTCTGTGGGCTAAGAGGGTTATGACGGATGATGAGGTCGTGGAGTGTTTTGTTGTACTAGGGTTCTATACCACTATTGCTAGGATGACGAAGGGGTTGAGGGTGCAGAAGGATCCGGTTATTCCGCATTTGGAGACTGCGATTGTGGATACGATTACGAAGAATGAGAAGGATGGAGTCGAGGCGTAGATGTTATATTTCAATTGTTTGTAGTTGGTTGTTAGGGAGAGATGGAGGGTGTTTGTTCTTTATGTAGTGATAATGGAGTTGATTGTGTTTACATTACAGTCTTGATCGATCGTATTTGATATGCTTCAACCACTGCAATTATGGATTGGTATGTAGTGAGCTAAATATTCCCCAACACATGCATCATCCGAGCCTGCTTCGATATCCACTCATCCTCCCTAAACTCCCCTAACCCATCCACGCTCATCCCCTCCAGGGCTCGATCCCACTCCGCCTGTGTCCCTGCATCCCATAACTCGTGGTTCTCCGGCAGCGGGAACTGCAATTCATCCGCCGTTAGAAGGATGTTGCCCATCGATGCCCCATCCACCATCTGGCTCAGCGCCGTCGAGCCATAGATCGTTGTGCACACCTTATACAGTGCAATGTTGAATCGCTTTACTTCCTCAATACTGACCAGCATGTATTGAGCAATCGCAGGTTCCTGATATTGTTGCAGGATGCGCGGATAATAAAACATGCCCCGGAGACGGCAGCTCCGAATCAGGCACTTAAGCAGCAGCTCAGTATCAGTCCTTAGTCCAGACGGCTTCAAATCTATCCCGAGAGAGCCGTGCGTTTTGTATATCAGAGAGAAGATGACATGTAATAAGATCGCCTGGTAAATCGGCAATGGCCACGACCCCGAATGAGGTATATGTACTTCATCGGGCACATCCCATCTCTCCTGCAACTACATTAGCATTTATGACAGATTTACAAGTATTTGCACTAACCTTCTGCTGCAAAATCGCCGAATTCAGCTGCTCATGCAACTCGACAGCCGCACACCGTGCGCTCCTCTCCCCACTCGCCCACAAGCCCAGCACCACCATGGACTGGACCAACATGGGAATTTCATGACGGATGCGAAACGTCCCCCGATGCACAAACGGCCAATGCGGGTGAAACAACTCAAAGAACATTTTGACAAACTGTTCTTCTCTGGACACCGCTGGCCGCGGGCTCACGGACGCTGGTCGGGTTTCGGGCGCCGGGGAGTCCTCCGCCTCGCGGAGAGAGCAGCGAATGCCCCGATGCTGACATTCCGTGCAAACAGGCTTCCCTTCACATCGAGCCTTGATGGCTCGACAATTGGAGCAGGCGCGTCGAGCTCGGTGGACGGGTTCATTCAACTGATGCTTCACTCGTAGATGTCGCCGCAGTGTGTCACTAACGCACGTTACTAATGACAGAACAACAAGCACGCAGGAGCCTTGCGCGCTGCAAGCTAACTTTGTGTATACTTTCGTCCGAATTCCTGACCACAGATGGAACAGGGATATGTCCGATCTTGGATATGTTTGGCCTCATGGCGGCGGAGGTGCTCTTTGCGCCGGTATCGGGCATCACAGTTGGGGAAGCGACAGACGAACTCGCCCAGCGAGTCATTCCTGGTCAATTTATCCATGGCGGCTGAGGGATCGCTCACTCCACAAACCAACTATATCAAGGTGGGAGGCGTTGCGACGGGGGGATGCCCCGGACATGGTGAGTGGGAGAATAGTTAGTATAGACTGTGGCTGCTGTAGAGAAGCCGTGGGTTATGTAATGGCGGGTGGGATGCTCCGGCACTAAACCCTCTAAAAGTATCATTTTAACTCTTTATCTCCTAGGCTACTGCATTCGTTCTCTTTCCTATTCTGGTTGAAGGATAGCGTGATATTTTAGTCTTTCTTGCAGACACTAGTCCAATAACAGTCATACCACTGAACGGGCTCGTTTATACAATACTTAAAAGCCTGCCACCAACTGGGCCAAGCGCGCACCAAATCCTGCATGCCTTAGTCTTGCCGCACTGCTCTTATGCTCTTGAATTACACCTGCCAGCCCTTTGTTTTCGACGAATCACGCTTGAACCCAAAGCTGAGACTTCGCTTTAAAGCTCCCTTTCGACCGGGCTGGGCGGCTTCGGTGATGTCCGAGCTCGTCTCCTCCACAGTTCTCTCCGACGTTGACTCGCACCGGTTACGACCTAGACGCTGACCCTTGGACTTTCTAATGCCATACCCCGGGCCCCCAAGGTTCCCCAGATCAATTCGCCTGCTGTCTCGCATGCCAAAGTAGAGACCAGCAACAACGAGTATGACCACGCTGAGACTCACTGGGAGGCCAATATACAGGCCCAACTTGTTGAAGGAAGTCGGTCGAGGAGACAAGCGATGCTGCACTGGCTTGGGGTGAAGAACAACGGTTGGACCCCGTCGGGCACTTGCCCGCTTATCTGACACCGAGTCCAGCTCGATAATGTAAAGTGTCAGAGGGTTCTGCTGCTTTCCTTGAAGCCATTCTTGCTGCATATGGATGTGAGTATATCCGTAGCTGTTGTCCGTCTTGTCCGAGGTAAATGTCGAATCCCCTTCTATAGAGTCCGTATATCTCAGTTCGATGGTGATTGTGGCATTCAGAGGATAAAAGTCCGCGTCCCAGGTGATGTAGTAAGTCCCACCAACCGTCACATTTGCACCATTCTCCGGGAGACAGAATGGTCGGGCAGCGCCATGAGGGTCCCTACAGATGGGGAAATCACCCGGTGTGCGGGAAGATCGTCGGATCGCCATGGTTGTGTTTGGGGGAGGCTCAATTCTCTCCGTCATCGCTGAACGAGTAAGCCATGTTAGACCATTGCCCTTTTGGGACCAAGATACCTTTAGAGTGGACAATAGCCCCATTTTTTCCAGCGACAATATAAATGGCCTCACCGAATGAGAAGCATGCCATGGCTGCCAGGACTAGTAAACAGGCCCCAGCTTTCTTCCAGGATAGTATCATACTTGACAACGAAGGCGGAAGCTCGATTGAGGATGTATTGGTTTGGTACAATATGGATGCAGTAAATTATTGAAGTATTGCATCTAGCGATGGATTGCATAGAGCTGCGTCTGTCAGTCGCTGCAACGCTGCATCTGTCACATTGCTACTAGCAGATGCAGATGAATGATACCAAGGAAGGTGCCATGATGGCAGGGAGTGCAGCTCATGGAAACAGCGAGCATCTCAGCATATTCGAGCGGCACAGCTATCATTACAACAGCATGCTGTGTCTGTCATAATCAAATAAGCAGCCATATTTGCTTTTTCTTGGCTTCTTGTAAAATCTCCCAGAATACCGTTAATACCACCCTATCTCCATATGAAGATTATTTGTTGTGGTTGCACATCGCATTGTCAGTGAAGCTGTCCGGATGCTACATACACAGCTCCACGGATCCACTGAATTGCCGCGTGTCAACATGTCAACAATGCCATTGTAAAGAGACTCGGGGACATGCAAGACATGCACCCCCTAATTAGTAGACAAGTAGTTGTATGATATCTGCATCCACAATCTTCGCAGAATCCAGCGCAATCGAATCTGTCAAGCTAAAGTGTTCCAGAAGGCGGAATCCCCGCTTCCGCGGCGGTTGGCTCCTCGGGCGGCCATTTAGAGTTAGGCCACCTGTCGCCGACGCTTACATCTCTCGCCGTTTCACTCGACCTTCAACATCCCCAAGTGCCTGTCTTCCCCAGCTGCCTGCTGTCCCGTACTTTGGCTTTTGAATTCTCTTTCTCTCCAAAGTGCGCCCGTCCCTTCAATAACAGCTCAGGTTGGTTTTTTCTTCCATCCATCCATCCCAGTGGATGTGATAGATTCCCTCGACCCCTATACTGACCACGCGTCATCAACTGCTTCAGCATCATGCGCTTCACCCCGGTCGTCGCCCTCCTCCCAGCGCTCGCTGTGGCTCAGGAGCAGGTTCCCCTTGCGGACCGTGTCCAGGGCTGGTTCAACAAGGCCAAGTCCTACTTGCCTACTGCCACCCCGGTCGCCCCCGCCGCTGCCGTTGTTGAGAAGGTCGTCGAGAAGACCAAGATCCAGGAGAAGACCGTCTCCGAGTTCAACTTGACCAACTGGCAGTCCTACCTGGAGCCCGCTTCGGAGCCCCAGGACTGGTTGGTCTACATTACCGGAGGAAACAAGACTTGCTTCGGTCGCTGTGACAAGGCAGACAAAGCGTTCAATGTAAGCAAGCCCTAGAAAAGGGGGCGCACCCACTCGATTTCATAACAATAGTCGCTAATAATCCTCCTATTTAGGAATCCGTGCTTCTCTTCTCCGCCGATCCTACCTCCCCTAACCTCGGTAAGCTGGACTGCGAAGAGAACAAGGTTCTTTGCTCTGCTTGGGGTGCCGGTGCTCCTTCGGTCTGGTTCCTCCAGGTGCCCCAGGCCCAGCTTGGTGAGGAGCGCCCCAACACTCCCCTCCACACTGTCTACCTGAACTCGACCACCGTGACCCCGGAGACCATCTACAAGGTCCACTCTGAGAAGGTCTGGGAGAAGGCCCCTGCCTACGACGGTCCTCTTCACCCCACGGACGGCTGGCTCGCTCAGAACAACCTTCTGCTCCCTCTTGGATACGTCATCTACGGCTTCAGTGCCATCCCCAGCTGGCTTTTCATGATCGGCATCAGCTTCTTCAGCCGTACCTTCATGTAAGTTGTCTTGCTCTGATCGCATTCTTTCTGTTTGCGATCCGCTACTAATGTGTCACAGGAGCCGTCGCCTTGGAAACGTCGGCGGCGCCCCCGCTCCTCGTCCGAACTAGACGTGCTGTTAAGGGAAGATAGCAGTTCTTTTAGAATGATTGGGATGTGTATATAATGAAGCAGAGCGCCTGTCAAATTGGATTGCGGTGTTTGGGTTGATGCCTCCTAACAGTTGTAATACAGTAAGCAGACCAACATTCTAGAACAATTTATTTTCCACATTATTTCATGCATATCAGCACGTAATCAACAACCCCAAGACATAGTATAGACATAGCCTAGCTCCCAATTAGACCTGTTAACAATCAATCGTACTAGAAACCAGCCACCCGGCCCGCTAACGTCACCGCCGACGAAGCAACATCCAGCTCCGCTCCGCAAAACCACCACTCAATCTTTCTACCAAACCACCACTTTCCACACCCACCCCCGAGAACAATCAATCCCAAAATGTCCGACCTCGACCGCACCACCCCCTCCACAGCCGCCTACGTGGTCGCGACCGCCATCCTCGCTGGTATAACCGGCTACTTCATCGGCCAAGGCAGCAGCCTCGGTCTCTTCAGCAACAAAGAAAAAGAAGGCTGGCCGAACAGCTACAACGTGAAACCGCACCTGGACTCGTCGGACGAAGACTACGAATCCGAAGAAGAAGAGGACAGTGAAGAAGAAGGCGACGGCACGGAGCTCGCCAACTTCGATAGCTCCAATGAAGAAGTGAAATTGGTGCTTGTCGTGAGGACGGATTTGGGTATGACGAAGGGTAAGCATATCCCCGTCTTCAATTCTACAATATTATATCTATGTCTCTGGCTATGGATATGGTTATTGTGGTAGGCGCTTGCTAATATTTTGTCACTGTTGCAGGCAAAATCGCCGCCCAATGCTCGCACGCTACCCTCGCATGCTACAAGTACCTGACAGCGTACACGCCGAACAGCGGGATCCTGCGCCGGTGGGAATCACAAGGTCAGGCGAAGATCGCGCTGCAGGTCAAGTCGGAGGAGGAGATGGAGGAGATGCAGGCTAAGGCGATTAGTCTGGGACTTTGCGCCAGGGTGATTACGGATGCTGGACGGACGCAAATTGCGAGTGGGAGCCGCACGGTGTTGGGAGTTTTGGGTCCCAAGAGTGTGGTGGATTCGGTGACGGGGCATTTGAAGTTGTTGTAAACTTTTCCTTTTACTCCGTATCTATATCGATCGAAGTTCGGTTTGAAAGGGTGTTATGGGTGTAGCAGTGAAACAGATCATGCGGGATTGTTGGGTCGGTGTGTTAAGATATGATGTTATATGGCGTTTTGGAGAAGGGTCTCGCGATGCGATGTGCTTCATCCTTCGGCTCAGCATTATGGCATATTTTTTCGAGTAGCATGTCGAGCATGCTACATCGTCGTCCACTCATGGCAGACGATAATCGACTTATTGGTCGGTTCAAATGGTATCCCAAGCATACTCAGTATGCGCGCAGCTTTACATCTTTACAACTACATACATAAATTATAATGATAGTAATGTTGGCAGGTCATGGTTATTCCCTAACCTCAGTGACCGACGGCCAATTCGGCAAAGGGAGTAGGAATATGACGCCGTCAGCAACCAGGTTCTCCAGCCGAGCTCACCAAGATGGGAGCTCAAGACCAGAGTGAACACCCAGCGCCAACCTTTAATCTGAGATCTGTCGACCGGAAGTGCAAAAACCATCCACAAGATGAATGGCTCCTTAAGTCGTCGAACCGTCCAGCGTTCAACCGAAACACAGAGAAATAAACAGCCGAAACTGCCACCCTCCATGAACGGGATCGCTGAACGCAGATCCGTGTTTGTTCATGTTCTGAAGAAAAGAAAAGAAAAAGAAGAAGAAGAGAAAAAATCGACGAAGCCGCCTTTTATCCGCTGCGCCAAGCTCGCGCTAAGAGTTTGTCGCGCTAAACCTTACCGAGATGGGTGCTGATTAGGTAAGTGCTTGTTGCCGCGCTCGCTCGCTCGCTGGCTGGTCGGTCGGTCGGTCAGGTCAGGTCAGGTTCGCCGCTGCGGCGGGTTGAATATCTCATATCCCGTCACTTCAACTTCACACTCATCAGCTGAAGACGATACCTCACCACCCACCCCCCGACCGTCTGTATCTATCTTCATTCTTCCTCTGCATTTGTCGCCATCATGGCCGACGCAGTTTCCATCGAGCAGAACAACAAAATCCGAGCCGCGCTCGGATTAAAACCCCTGCCTGTTCCTGGCGCCGAATATGAAGACGACTCCGACGACTCGTCCGGCTCCGAAGATGAAGACCCCGCCAGTACCCTCGAGTCGCGCGAAGCGATGGCTGGATCCAACTGGAAGAAGATGCAGGATGATGCCGAGGCGAAACGGAAACGGGAAGAGAGAAACGCTGCGATCAAGCGGGCACGAGAGCTGGCGCAGAGAGATGCCAAGTTACAGGGCACCACGCTGGGTGAATCGGGCGATGCGGACCAGGACACCAAGGCGTGGCTGATGCAGGCGAAGAAGCGACAGAAGAAGATCGAGAAGGAACGGGCGCGCAAGCTGGCGGAGGAGTTGGAGGAACGTGAACGGGCGGCGGAATACACTGCTGTCGATCTGGCTGGTATTAAGGTTGGGCATGAGGTGGGCGATTTCGAGGGCGGCGAGGATCATATTCTCACGCTGAAGGATGCGACGATCGATGAAAATGAGGAGGAGGGTGATGAGTTGGAAAATGTTGATTTGAGGGAGAGGGAGAAGGCTACGGAGCGGACAGAGTTGAAGAAGCGGAAGCCGGCGTATGATCCTACGGAAGAGAACTCGAGTATCCTGGCACAATATGACGAGGAAATTGATGGCAAGAAGCGGAAACGCTTTACTCTGGATGCTCAAGGGTCTACGGTGGAGGAGCGGGAGGCAAAGAGACAGGAGGTGTCGGGCAAATTGAACAAGAATATCGTCAGTTTGGATCTGGAGACGGAGACGACGACACCGGCGTCCGACTACATGGATATCAGCGAGATCAAGATCAAAAAGCCTAAGAAGAAGAAGGCGAAGGCTACGAAACAGAGAGCTGTTATTGATGACGACGAACTATTCCCTACGACCGAGTCGACGAGTACCCCGAATAACAACGCCATGGAGGTTGATACTAATAACGGAACACCGGTTCCCGCGCCCGCCCCCAAGAAGTGGGCAAGTGAGGATGTCTCGTTTGTCGATGATGATGATCTACAGGCCTCGCTTACCCGCCAGAGACGTGCTGCGTTTAAGAAGCGACAAAAAGTGCGACCGGAGGATCTTGCTCGACAGCTCAGAGAAGAGGGTTCCCAGACACCGATGGAAACAGGCACGCCCGATGGAAACGAAGAAGAGCCCGGCCTCGTGATCGACGAAACCTCGGAGTTTGTCTCCAACCTACAGAAACCTACCCTTCCAGAGCGCCGCGAGAGACAAACCACGACGCCCGCCGAGGAGTCACGTGCTAAGAGTGAAGGCCCCAGCATCAAGGCAGAGGACGAAGATGTGGAAATGGGAACCTACAATGATATCAAGGATGAGGAAGATCTCAAGGAACGGATCAAGCGCGAGGAGTCGCAGGCTCAGCAACAGATCAGTACTACAGGTTTGGACGAGGAAGCGACTTTGGATCAAGGTCTCGGTGCTACGTTGAACATGCTCAAACAGCGTGGTCTGGTCAAGGGATCCGACGCCGCAGACAACAATTCTCTACTGCGCGACCGCCATCGCTTCCTGCAGGAGAAGATGCGCATGGAGACCGACGCGGAGAAACGCGCTCGGCAGCAGCGTGAACGCGACCGTGCCTCAGGCAAGCTGGACCGGATGTCAGCGCGCGAGAGAGAAGAATACGCTCGGTGGGAGAACAAGCAGCGCGATCAGCAGGAGGCGCGACACATGGCGGAGGTGTTCAACCGCGAATACAAGCCGGATGTGCAGCTCAAGTACGTGGATGAGCATGGTCGCGCGATGAACCAGAAGGAAGCGTTCAAGCATCTCAGTCATCAATTCCACGGCAAGGGCAGTGGCAAGATGAAGACGGAGAAGCGGTTGAAGAAGATCGAAGAAGAGAAGAAGCGCGAGGCGATGAGTGCGCTGGACAGCAGTCAACACACGGGTATGAACAACGCCATGGGAGCGACAGCGCGCAAGAACCGCCAGGCCGGTGTGCGACTCGGCTGAGAGTGGTGTTGCTTCTCTCGGACTGTTGTAGTAGATGATGACCTTCACCGAACGACCTCTATTCAGGAGGCACATTAATGATCCTCAGCAGGTATTTTTCTAGGCTATGCGATGTTTGTACAGATTATACCAATAGAACGTCACATATTATTCTACCTATATCCAATAGATCGACCTGTTTTTGGGTGTAGATAAAGCAAGCAAGCCAGCAGCACGCGGTTTTGTCCGATGATGGATGGATAGAGAGGTAAGATGGACTCGGTGCTCCGAAGACACTGCAGGACGTCCTCAATACTCCGTCGATGGTGTAGCAGAGCTATTGAATCGGGATAGGCTTGGCGTGTGGGGGAATTTAACCGAGGCCGAGTGATATTGTCCGAGGCGGTGGAGTGCAAGCAACCATGGTTGTGTGGGTAGCTATTCAAGATTTTGTGGTAAAGCTACCAAAATCGAGAAAAGTGAGACTGTTAGTTAGCAGGAGGAAATGGAGTCAATGCTGCAAATTTATATGATTGATGGTGTGATGGTGGTGGTTAAAGGTAAGTGGTAGAAGGACGATTGTCTCCGATTGAACAGATAATTACCCCAACTCCTCGTGAGGGGAAGACCAACCTCAGCCCATCCATGATTTTCCCTCGATACTAAAACAGTTCACCGGGGCGAGCGGGACGGGCTCATCATTTGTGGTGCGATCTGTCAAGGAGGGAGTCCACGCTCTCCGTGATGATGACATTGACAACTCATTCAGTGGTGTTCATTGTTGTGTCGGATAGTAATCAATCAGTTAGTAGAGATAGACAATCGCATTCAGATGTCATTGATGAAATAGATATACTACATTCATGCTACTCCGTACATCCGAGAGATATGTGCAGCGTGCTTGCTTTCTGCAGCTGCCAGGTCAATAATGTTCCATGCAAACCAGCCAAACAAGCAACCAAGTCAGCTGCTGGCGATGCGGAGGACGTGGCCAATCCGAGACCTCCCGCGTCTCTCCCCGGAAACTCCCTACTGTGCTAACCAGACTAGTCCCAAGTCAGTTTCCAGTGACTCAAAAAATAAAATAACTATCGCCGACCTCGTCTCTCTCCCGCTCGTCTCCTCCCCCGATTCCAGCCTTCCATTCAAGTACTGCTTGCCAGCTCCTTGGACCCCCCCGTCCTTTTCTTCCTGATCATCTCCTCCCTGGTCTCTTGGAGTGCTTGCTCATTTCCTCCCTTTCTTTCTTCTCTTTTCTTATCCAATCCTCCTCCATTCACCATGTTGTCCACCCTCAGAATCGCCAGCCGTAAGGCTGCTACCCGTGACGCTAGTGTGCGCACCGTTATTGTCGGCGCCAGACACGCCTCCGCCTGGTCCAACGTGCCTCAGGGTCCTCCCGTAAGATCTCCAACACATCCCAATTGCTGTTGTGATGCCATTGCTGACCCATTGGCTCTGTAGGATGCTATCCTGGGAATCACCGAGGCCTACAAGGCCGACACCTTCCAGGAGAAGATCAACCTGGGTGTCGGTGCTTACCGTAAGCATCACCCTGTTTCAGTTTAACTATCCAACTATACCATCTCTCGATCACGCCAAACAACCAACTTCCAACGTTCAGTAGTCTGACAATTCATTGCGATCAAACAGGTGATGACAAGGGCAAGCCCTACGTCCTCCCCTCCGTCCGTGCTGCGGAGGACAAGGTTGTCGCCTCCGGCTACGACAAGGAATACGCTGGTATCACCGGTATCCCTGCCTTCACCAAGGCTGCTGCTGAGCTGGCCTACGGTTCCGACTCCGCCGTCCTTAAGGAGGACCGTCTCGTCATCACCCAGACCATCTCCGGTACCGGTGCTCTGAGAATCGGTGGTGCTTTCCTGCAGCGCTTCTACCCTCACGCGAAGAAGGTCTACCTTCCCACCCCCAGCTGGGCCAACCACGCCGCTGTCTTCAAGGACTCCGGTCTGGAGGTCGGACAGTACCGCTACTACAACAAGGACACCATTGGCCTCGACTTCGAGGGCCTGCTGGCCGACATCAAGGCTGCTCCCGAGAACAGCATCATCCTTCTCCACGCCTGCGCTCACAACCCCACCGGTGTCGACCCCACCCAGGACCAATGGCGCCAGATCAGCGACGTCATGAAGCAGAAGGGTCACTTTGCCTTCTTCGACATGGCCTACCAGGGCTTTGCCAGTGGTAACGCTGACCAGGATGCCTTTGCTCCCCGTCACTTCGTGAAGGAGGGCCACAACATTGCTCTCTGCCAGAGTTTCGCCAAGAACATGGTAAGCTGATACCAGACTTGGTGTATGATTCAGTATTAAGTGATATATAGGGTCTGTACGGCGAGCGTGTCGGTGCCTTCTCCCTCGTCTGCGAGTCCGCCGAGGAGAAGAAGCGTGTGGATTCTCAGATCAAGATCCTCATCCGTCCCTTCTACTCCAACCCTCCCATCCACGGTGCCCGCATCGCCTCGACCATCATGAACGACGCCAAGCTCAACGAGCAGTGGCTGGGTGAGGTCAAGGGCATGGCCGACCGCATCATTGAGATGCGCGCTCTCCTCCGCAAGAACCTGGAGGAGCTTGGCAGCAAGCACGACTGGTCCCACATCACCAGCCAGGTAGGATTTAAACCATGAGTGATGCAAGCGATTACTAACATGCGACAGATCGGCATGTTCGCCTACACTGGTCTCAAGCCCGAGCAGATGGACGCTCTGGCCAAGGAGGTAAGCAGCTTTCAATCCGTGTATCTCTTCTTTACACTAACTCGTCCAGCACTCCGTCTACGCCACCAAGGACGGCCGTATCTCCGTGGCCGGTATCACCAGCGGCAACGTCAAGCGTCTCGCCGAGTCCATCTACAAGATCACCGGTTAAATGAGCAGCCAGGGAGGGGACCATTTGCTCATAAAAAACGTAGATCAGGGATTGGTGTCCCGTTGTACTGATATCCATGTGTGACATTAGCATATCTAAGTATCTAAGCAAGTTTCAACGATTTGGATGACATTATTGCTATCCAGCATGACTCCGTAATTATTGCAATTGACTTTCACCCAACGATGCTAAGTACTTTAGGCCTAGACCATCCACATTCATCACATCCGGACCCTCCGAAACCACAGGTCACATAGTACCGAGCCGGCAGGCAAACCCACATACATACTTCCTCCCGCACAGGATCTGTCGCCACACCAACGCAACGCACCGCACGAGTCGAGCGAGACATGTAGCGGTGTAGATAGTAGATAGCCCAGATCAGATCTTGCTGTGCTTCCCAGCCACCACGAGTGAAGCAAGCAGGAAAGGTACTAAGTATTGTATGAGTTGGCCTTCTATTTATGCGAGCTATAGAAGAAAAAAAGATTCGATCTATCAGGAGTATGATGCCTAATTGGTAATAGAGGCATGAAATGCCGCGTTACTGCTACATACTTACATTACAGTAGTTTTGAACCTTTCTTTATTTCATGAGGCTGGGAGGGGATTGGATTGGATTGTGCCTTGTAACAATTAGCTACTAGTTAGGACTGAGTAAGTAAGAAAATAGCCCCTGAGTCATATATCATATCATATCGTATCATATAAGGCACCTTCCTTCGGGCACAGTCATCCGAGATCAGTAGACCAAGTAAGTTATGTATGGGTAGATTGCCTGGTTTTCTGCAATCTTTTGGATCGAATCTGGAGATCTCTCTCTTTCTCGTATGATTTATCAGTGTTTGCCTACTTTAAATCCGAATTAGCTAGAATAATTATAATAACCCCTAATAATCTATACTGTATCTTTCATTATTCTTCCTCATAAGGTACTCAGTACGTATGCATGTATTTTGGGTATGGGTGATTGAAGTGAAGTGGGCCCCGGGTTACCGGTCTTTATACTATATCGATCGTTAGTTTCCTCTCTCTCCACTCCGAGTTAACTTAACTCCTGGGGGTGTGGGATGATGATTGATTGCTACGGTAACTGTTCTTTTTTCTTTTGGCTTACTTTGTTTTGACTAGGACTATTGTTCTGGTAGATTATATATTGTAAAATAACCCGGTTGAATGAATCTCTCTATTCCATTATAATTAGCTACTTGTTGGTTACTAATTACTATGTAAAATTTATTCTGAAAGAACTAGACATACTAATCGTACATACAGTGTAGGTAGAAGTAATACCAGCTTAGCGCGGCTGTATCGCTTATTGCTTCACAATTGATGACTCCAACTTTCTTTTTCTGTGGTTTTCTACAGTAGTATTTCTCGTAAGTGGTTGTTTGCTTCATTGCTTGTTTGTGGCGGTGATGGTAAGGAATGACACTACTAACTAGCCCAGTAATAATTTACCCTAGTACTCTTTACAGTGTTAGGTATGAACGAATGCCCTGCCAGGCTGAGTACACTGCTCAGCCTCATTTTCGTGCCCTTCTTTACTTAGGTAGGTAGAGGTGTGGCTATGTAAGACATTGCAGATCTATTCTTCTACTAACTATCTACTGTCTGCTTTTTCGAGTTGCTAACTACTAAGCTAACTAGCTAACTAAATAACTAATTATGGGGTAAATTGCACTGCACTGCACTGCAGTTTAGCTCTTCTTCAATACTACTACCACTGCAGTACCCCGGCTATACTACTTATTTATTTATAGAACATTTATTCAGGCTACTCCAGTTCGCTAATAACAGTTCCGTCTCACGGCCTCCCACCCCCTAAAATAGAATGATAATAGTAAGGATCACCAATGTTCATTAATCGGCTATCCCGGTAAGAGTCATCCGGATCAACGAACGCATATAGAGCGGTTTGAATTATGGAGTAGGGAAGAGGGGATGGGATGGCTGGATTCTATTTTCAATGTATGTATGAGGGGGGGTGATGATGATGAGACAGGGGTAAAGCAGACCAGGAGGGTCCTGGCACGTTTCAGCTGGATCACTAGTAGTTGTCTACTTTTAACTATGTATGGTTGGTTGATTAGCTGACTCGAGAGAGCTTGGGCATTGGGGGGGTTTTGTTTCACTGCAGATGACTACAGAATAGAGGAGAAGGACATCGATAGGTACAGTTGCTGATTATGTTACTTGGGTAGATAAGTGAACTAAACTTTGTATCTTAGGGGAAAGGGGTAAGATAGGTAGATTACAATAGTTAGTCAGTTGGATAACTAACTACTAATTAGTTTCGAGGGTGGGTGTGGATATAGGAGTGGATGTGTGGGGAATGAATCGAGTTCGAGTCTTGTCTTGTCTTGTTTTTTTTTGATCCCTTTTTATTTCCTTTCCTTCACTTTATTCATATTAATTCTGGACTTTATTGCCTAGAATTGATATGTGATTCAGTATTATGAGGGGCTCTGCTTACTTGATACATAGTTAACTAGCTAGCTAGTTAGCACAGTTATTCTTAGTACTGGTAAGCACAGCAACCTGGTAACTAACTAACTACTACTAGGTAGGTGTAGTATGTGATGCTGTGTCGATGATGTGCTGGCAATGGCTGGCTCCATTGTCAGTCCTGTATTATATGTATTGTAAGTAATTATGGTGGAAGTGTGGTGAAATACACATACCGTATTCATTGTGTCCGTCTGCTTTCCTTCCCCTCGCATGAAATCAGGCCCACCAATGATCAATTTCCCAGCCAGCCATCATCCCTCCAGCATTTCCCGTTCGGGCGGGCACTTTCACAATGATCTGAACTTACACAGTCAAGCCCACCGTATATGCCTATTTCAGTAGGCTGGGAGGGATGGAAAGGGAAAATGAAGCTCGGTTACTTACTTAGTCATGTTTGGGGGTTGCATTCCTGATGATGGGGTTGGATGCATCCTGCTGAGTGACGGTGTCATTCTTCCTACTTTGGGTTGAGGTTATACCTATATTACTTTAGACATACTAGCCAGCTAACTAACTACTAGATTATATCATGGAAAGATATCTGGATCATGAGGGGGTAGCAGTTTACTGTTGCTTGAAGGTGTTCAAATATCCTATTACGTCACCGACAGCCAGAACACAAAACAGGTGTAAGAATAAGTCAGAGAGGGATTTAGGAATGATGAGGGCAAGCCACAGCAGCTGCATGCTACTGCTGCTGCTTCTCTGGCTGGTGTGTCTGCTACGCCTCGTAGTAACTCCGACAGAGTAATGCAGGGCCCATTCCCTATGATGGTCTAAGCGGCAGTGGCAAATGCTGGACACTTACTGACTGTCACAGAGGATACTGACTTGGTTTATTCAATGGAGGTGATAGTACTACTCGATTCTGGTTAGTGATCAGTAGTGCTTCCTGCCTTACTGCAAAGTCATCCTATTGTATCGATTTGTCTATGACTCGACGTCGAGGCGACCTTCAGTTTCCACTTCCACATCCACTCGCCGGGGCTCAAAACACGTGGAAACGCCTCGCCAATCATCAACACGAGTTCAGGCTGCCCGGTTGCCCAGCGTGCGCAGGCGTGTGTATACTAGTATGAAATAACTCGAATACACATCCACCTTACCTAACATGCATGACACTGAATGCCCAAGTCATGCTGATGCAGTCGTTTGTCTACAGGGTGTTAGTTGCGCCCGTCTTGAGCTGCTGGCGCGGTAGATACTAGTTAGATTACTCTTCCTGTCAATCGATGTATGTGACTTGACTCTTCCCTGATCGCTCGACGTCTGAACTCTGAAGGTCCTGTGCGCATTCTTTCCCCACCTTTTCAATGTACCGGCCCTACAGGAACCTGGTCAGGATGAGCCTTGCTTAACTGGACTATCGCCTGTCTGTCGATACACGAATCCCAGGACGAGAAACGGTGACGGAAATAACACCCGATCGGGGAGGGTGCAAGATAGCCTCGAGAGAAAGCAATGAAGCGATTGATGGGCGAACACCGGGTTGATCAAAGACCATAGTGGATGCCTTGTATGCATTATGTTCAGACACTAGAGTCGAAGAAGAAGCTCTTGAAGAAAGAGAGCTGACCGTTCACCCCTTCATTACTGAACTGGAATGATCACAGGGCGGTCCATCCTTTTCTGGGAAGCCGCGGACCAATTATTCCCTCTAGATGAAACCTTTTTCTTTCCTTTTTCTCGTTTCCATTCTCCCCTGCCCTGATCCCACCCCCCTCTTCCATGTACTGACTAACGGACGGACATCGTACTTAATCTTCATCAGCAGGAGAGATCTTCCTAGCCAATAGATCCCCCTCCCCAGTGGGAGGATCATCTGGTTGGTTTGTTTCGGTTAGAACCTCGGCCGGACTGTAACCTGGAGTTGGGATTTGATGTCCATCATCATCATCCATCCACCATACTCCGTTATTGATTTTCAATCTCCGCGATCTCTCCATGTCCTGCGACCTTATAATTAATTCCGGCGCTTGAATTTCTCCTTCCCATTCGGCACCTTTAGCAGAGCAATAGTTCAATCGGGGTGACGATAGATAAAACAAAATAAAATAAAAGGAGCAGTCCGATTGTGACCACTTCTACCTCCCCGTGACCTACCAGCTTATCCAACCCCGACTAGGAAACTCGTGTGGTTTCTGGCTTGTCTGAGATTGGACCATCACCTCCCGATTTGTGCTGCCCGTACCTCTGTATTAAGTTTGGCCTGCACGAGAGCAAGTGCCCTGTCCATGCAGGTTTACCATCTTGCATTCTTTTCTTTTTTTTTTCCTTTTGTGTTATCTTTGTTTTTGACTTTTTTTTATTTTTCTCCCCTTCTCCTAGCGGTGCGGGATGTCGCGCGGGTTTACCAACCGGTAATCTGGGAACCACCCTTCCTGCTTCCCTCCTCCCTCCTCTTTTTTTTTCCCCTACGGGAATTCCCCCTTCCCCTTCCGATCATCCGCCGGAAATAAGAAAGGGTCGAGGCTGGTCGGCGGGTGATCTGCCGTCAAGCTGAACCAGTGGCTCAGCTTTTCAGTTTCATTACTGGATCAAGCAGCGATCCGGTGACAACGCCGGTACCTGGTATTGTCTGAATCATGGGATGCGCGAAACCGTTCGGATGACTGGTAAAGTGTAATCCAAGCAAGGCACACACTCTCTTTTCCTCTGTGATATCTGATCTCATAGCATCTCTTCCATTCAGTAAGTAGATCAGTAGACTGACACTCTTTTCCAGTTTTAAAGTCTAGTATTGGTCATCTGCCCGACCATACATCTCTTGCTCTATCTTTTGATTGATTCATTCAATTCTTCTAAAATTCCAGTACCACCTTACTGTCCATTCACTGCCGAACGTGTATTAAACCTGCTTAGGAATCTGCTTCCCTTTCAGTCAGCAGCCAGCCAACAAGGTATTGTTAAGTTAATTAAATTACCGGCCGCGACTCTTCAGAAAATAGTGCGACTCGATTTTAAACTTTGGGACACTTTCTGACTGACGTCCTTTCTCGTCTTTGATTTATTCTATATTCGGTGCCGAATCATATTGTCTAAAAACAAGGATTAAAATAATTATCCATGGCCTTTTGAAATGTTGGCTACTGTTGCTGCTGCAGCAACCACCCCCAATGATGAGGCTCACCCTCCAGTGTTATTTGGCTAGTGAGTTAGCCAGGAGAAAACGACCCGATCAAGGCAGGCAGCAGGAGACGATAGGAGTGGTTCCAGATGGATCAATGGCCGATGTGACCCATTCTTGTCATCAGTGGGTGGTGGGGACACTGGGTGGCAGAGGCATGGCCATGGCGTAAGAAAGTAGCTAGACTCCCAGCTAACTCACTCACTAACTGACTAGTGAGCTACAGTAAAGGGTGGTCGAACAAGTAGTTCCCGTTTTGTACCACCACCACCACCACCACCTAGAATGGAGTCAGTCTGTCGTACAACCTGAACAGAAGAATTACGACACACACACACCTCCGGGTAAAAATTACCGGGCCCGTAATCGGACCCAAACCCAGGCATCATTTCATTCATCCATGACCTAGTTAGCCTTGGACCTTTTTGCTGCCTTTCACAGGCACGAATGCGAGACAAGCCAAAAGGGTTCGTATAAGAAATCTATTATAAAGTGAAACCCGCTGTCATTCCATTATACTTGAGACATTCAAAAAAGAAACACCAGGGTATGTAGGGAAAAATATATTTAGGACTATAGTCGAATTAAATAGATAGTAGAGTCTTCCCCTTGTCACTTTGAATGCATCCCGGGCTTCCCTCGGATCGATCGCTGGTAGGGATCAATTGTTCCAGAAGAAACCGCCTTTCATCCATCAAACGCCCCCGGGGAGTTTGTAATTGAGATACATACACCATACACCACACCTCACCTCAACAACACCCCCCGGTAAGTCTGCGTAATACGCAAACCCGCTCCATTTCCATCCCATGCCATCCACTTGAGGACCCCGTCAAGGATCAGACTACCTCCCTTAGAAAGTCTTTAGCACCGACACCTGGTCTTTGAGAAGTAGAGTTGGACTCCATACTGTCGGCCGTCTGCCAGACTAGTGGCCGTACTATCTTTCTTTCTCTGTTCCCTTTCCTAATATTATTCGTGTATCTTCTTTGATTATTCTTCCGGCAGTTCAGGCCAAAGTTATGGTAACTACGATGCCAGGTCGTCAAAGAACAGGGCACCCGCTACCTACCTACTACTATTCTACCCCATGGTAGATAACTACTTAGATGCTGTTAGCCTCGGGCTTACTACACACCTTGCATTCGGCTTTGCCACATTTCCTGCCCGCCTTGTTGTTTATTCTATTTTTCTTTTTTGAACCCCCCTCCCCGCCTTTAAAACTGCTGTTCTTGCAGCCTATCAAACGTAGTCTTTTTTGTCCTTTTTTCCCTATTCCTTGTCGAGTTCCAGGTGCATATTCTTTTATTACGGTAAAAATAGCGGTGCCGGCGGCGGTGGCCAACTCCGCTCTCTCCGCGGAGGCAGAGAGGCTATTACGGCAGCAGGCAGGTACCGCAGTGGAAAGGGGAAAACAGAAAAAGAGCGAAAAAAAGAAAAAGGCTCGGGAGGAGGATGGGGAGGTTAGTTTAGCAGCCGTGAGGATGTTGTCGCAGGAGGTATTTGGGAGAGTCTGCAGGTTAACATAAGTGGTAAATTTAATTAGTGATCCGTATGATGGAGGGCCAGGATTGGGATTCTGCTGGTGTTTTGGCTGAGCTAGTGCCTGCCTAACTAACCCAGGGTGTGATAGCGTCCTCAAAGAAATGATTGTGAAAATAATAATCTTTGGCATTTTTTTTGTTTTTATTTTTTCTTTCTGGCTTAGAGGGTCGGGTTGTTCCCTTATTATTATTATTATTATTATTATTATTATTATTATTATTATTATTATTATTATTATTATTATTCTCATGATTATTATTATAATAATAAATTTCGGGTCATTTGGGTTAGTGAGTTAACCTTTTTTGACACCCTACTTTACAGGACTCTGGAACCAAAACGAGCAAGGTACCCTGAACGATACCATACCGCTCCTCCCCACTCAATACCTCAATACTCACGCCTCTTGGTCTTGTCCCGACTGGCACTCTCCGCTCCAAGGCCGCCTTACACTCGCATCCCCCCGTTCCTTTGGCATCATCTCATCTCATCCTTCCCCTTCCCCTTCCCTCTCTTTCTCTTCCCCTCACCCTCCCCTCTTCCTTCTTCCTCTCCCTCTCTCTTTCTTTCTCTTCCTCCCACACACCCATTCACCCTCACTCTTCCTCTTCACTCTCCGACACCTTCAAGACCACCCTTCTTGCCATGGGTCTTGTTGGCTTTCACTCTTCGTTTGCTTCCTCTTATGCAGACTTCCTCTCCCTCACTTTCCTGAGTGCCGTTGCTTGATCTTATGGCGTATTGTCTTAACACGCCTTTCCGTGCATTCGGCCGCTGACCTGCAGCTTCCACGCTGCCAACCGTCTGTATTTCGAATCTCGAATCCTTCCCTCCTCCCAATTCCTCGTCTCCGATCGACTCGGACGTTTCTCGCCCTCTTCCTCCCTCCCTCTACCTCGAACTCTCCGGGTTTCTCTACATTGTCCCTCTGCAACCTACCTCATGCCGGCTCTCGAGGTCCCCGAGTCCGGGTTGTCTCTCTGCCGAGACAACCACGGCAATGATGCTACCACCAAGCCCGTTCAGATTATGCGGCTGAATCTAGCTCAGGATACTCTTGATGAGCTGATCCAGAGCCTCCGGAACGATCAGACTGCTCGAGTTCGTCTGGGGAAACATGCGACTCTTTACTACGGCTCCAAATCTCAACAATTCCATCCCCTCCCCGAGACGTGTCGATCAGAGCTATATAGCGGCAGCTCTACGGACAAGGAAAACCTATATTTCAGCGGGGTTTTGAGCCATAGCTTGGAGGTCCAGAAGGCGAAGGAGGATACCGCGAGTGCCGATAAGGCATTGGCCGATTTGGAGCAAAGCCTGAATGCCTTTGAAAGAGGAAAAGAGTCGAAGAAGACCGCTATAATCACAAACATTGATGAAGTGAGAGCTTTGCGGGCAGGCGACAGACATGGCACTGGAAAACAGACTGCTCGTCTGGGTCGTGCTCCGGCAAGCAAGGTGGAGCTGGAAAAGGATCGACTGCTTAATGCCAATCGCTCCGTTTCCTCGAGCCCGGCTCTGGGAGTTGCTCGATCACCTGCATCTATACCTCCGCTTACACCTACCTCCGCTCCGCTTTCTCAAAACAAAGATCGCATTCGTCTTGAAGCTCTCAAAGTCCCCTTCATTCACCTTCTCGCCGTCCGGGCAGTTTCCGCCAAGTTCCTCGCGCGACAAACCCGCGCGTCCCTCGAAGACTGCGAGACTCTGGCTCGGAAATACGGCATCGAAAACCGAATCAATCCGGAGAAGTTCGATCTCAAAGATAAGACCTATCGGGAGCTTGATGTGTGGAAATTTCCCTATCCCTCCCAGGAAGATCGGCAGGAGGCAATTGAGAATGCCATCTCTGCATTCGATCGCCTGCGAATTTCCCGGTCCGACAAGCTCTGGCAGATGCTTCTTCCCAAGGAAGAACGCGGAAAGGGCAAGTGCTTATCGCGCCTGGACTTGCGGACGGGCCCCATCAAGAAAGCTGCGACACCTCGGATACAAGTACAAACATCTGATGACAATAGCAAGGACGGTTACACTACGGGTCAGGAGACCGACAAGGCTAGTGGGAATGGTCTAACACCAAGGACGGGTGAGCCGACGTCAGCTCCCAGATCTGGGACGGTCGCGCAGAAGAAACGGCCCGGCGACAAGGATACCGGTGCGAAACGGACTGCCGCAAAGAGCAAGGTTGCGGGTAACAGTACCTTGACGGGACGCGTCACCAAGAAGGCGGAGCGGAAGACGACCGCGAAACAACCGGAGGGCAAGTTCAAGTCGGCGGAATTCGTTCATGACTCGGATGAGGACGACACCGACCTGCCAGATGCATCGTCAACTGAGAAGCCACAGCCTGCAAAGGCAAAGGCTGAACCTAAGCCGCAGACTAAACTGCAGAAGCCCAGCCCACCCAGGGAACCCTCTCATGCGCCTACCCCGAAGGTGGAGCAACCAGAAGCTACACCTAAATCGGAGCCGATCGACCAAGCGTCACATCGGCCTATGGCAGCAAAGAGGCCTCCTTCCTCGCGACCTCCTGCGCAAAAGTCCCCTCAGAAGTCCCCTCAAAAACCGTCGCCCCTCGGGTCCTCGCCCCCCACCAACGCCTCTGATATTCAAAATCGCAGTCGTTCTTCAAGCCAAAACAATTCTTCAAGTTCCTCGTCATCATCGCCCCTCATAACCCAGGTCAACAAGCCCAGGCCTGTTGCGAGCGCGCCCACTGTGAGAAAAGTGGTCAAGACCAACGGTGTATCCAGACCAGCTACCGTGACCAATCCCCTGAAGCGCAAGGCGGAACTTGAGCGGCCTGCAGCGCTAGCTCAAGTTCCCGGACGTATTGCGGGGGATCTGGAACACAAACGGCGGCGAGCCGTGAGCACGTCCAGTGGCAGTACTGGAAGCGCCTCGCCGCCCCTCCGCCGCGAAATTACCATCCAGGAGTTGCACGACAAGTCCAAGAAGTTCAAGCGGTTCTACGCCAAGTACCACGCCTTACATGACGCACTGGCCTCTCAGCAAAATCCGTCGCGAGCCGACTTGGAGAAGCTCCAGAGGCAGCACACTAGTCTGCGGCGGATGAAGGAGGAGATATGGGCCGAACATCAGCAGCTCCGAGGTGGGCTCTAACGACAGAACATGGCATTTGCATGAATTTATTCCTTATCTATTTCTCGACCCTTGTTTATTATGGTGTCTGGTCCCGGACATTGACAGAACGGGGTTCCTGTTATTATTCCACGATGTTGCTCCTTTTCGACTACCATTGTGTCTGTTTTGTTTAGCATGACGAAGCCGGATAACAGAAAAAGTGCTTCGAGGCGTTTTATGGGGCCAGGTGGATGTTGTTGATGCTTGATATTTTTTTTTCCTTTTCTATCTGGTTAATTTCCTTATCATTTCCTTTGTTGATTGGCATATTATTGCATCTTATCACGCTGGCAAAGAGCATGCATGTAATGGGAATGGGTACATATTAGAGGCCGGACTGTCATGGAGGGCAAGAAGCAAGGACGCTGCAAGGAGTCTTCGATACCGGGAGACGGACATGAAACTAGAGACCAATGAAAGACAAGATTCATACACCATCTTCATTCCTGTCGCCTCCGTTCCTACAGTAAGCAAAAGCTAGTTCAACTGCAATAACAGGTTAGTAGTAAGAAGTAGACTAGGAATCATGGCCCGACGGAGGCGATTCCCGCACTCTTTTTTTTCCCTCATTCTTCCAGTCCGTTCCGATACTCCGCAAAAAGTGCCCTGCAACACGAACCGTCCGTCCGTCGTGCCCCTCATGTGGCTGCTGCCTCTTTTTCACTCATGTTTCCTTGCCCGATTAGGTCCTCGGGTTCAGATTCCAGCCCAATCTGGTCGATAATACCCCGCCATACACCCGAAACCAAACAAAGAGAGTCATCTCCCTACTTCGTACATTACTTTACTCTGGCAGAGTGGCTTACATTGTATGGTATTCTAAACACTCTTCTATTCACTATCCATATAATGCAGTTCTCAAGTAGTCGAATAACACCTATAGCATTGATCGATATTACACATGATCAGCATGTCAATCAGTCAATCATCCAGTCCGGTCACACATGAAAATCATCCACACGCACGAAGCAAGTAACATGAACCAATGAGTAAGAGGAATATTTATTATACCCCGGATCATCATCACCCACCCATCAATCACCGACACAAGATACTGTTACTACTTAGTACCTGCCAGGGAAACACTTACCGTGTATAGTTACATATGACAGATCACTACTACTAAACCATATCAGGATCGGAGTATGAATCGGAGGGTGGTGAGAGAAAGATGGATGGATGGAAAGGACGGGGAAAGAAACTCCCCTCCCTCCCCCTTCCTTCCTTCCCATCCCTCCACCTTCTCCTCAAGTACCAAATAAGTTACTCACCACCCCACTATCGGCACGTGGCTGGAGTGGCCGATTGGTCCCGAATAGGTAGGGATACGCTACGTGCTACTACTGTACTATACTTGGATACCTTACGGAGGCGGGTATGTATGTATGTATTGGTATGTATCGGTACGTGGGGTATTTTACGGGCGAATGAGTTGGGGTAGGTTGGATGATGTCATTCTCGTACACATTCTTATGTTGCTTGAGGTGTTGGTTTTGTTTTACATTTGTTGTGATGGATAATTGTGATGGTTAGTTTGCAGGGTTATTTGTGGTTTGTGGTGGTTTTGAAGGGTGATTTGTTTGGCTGTGTTTGGAGGTATATATTTGGGTTGTGGTTGGAAGGGGATTGGTGGGTGAGTATTATATGTGAGGATAGGGAGGACTTTCTTTCAGCTTTATTTTTTATTCATGTTAGTTATTACTAGGCTTGTATTACTATAACAGAACCAACTGAATGGATTCTAGTGTATTCAATTTCTGTTATCTTTAATAGATGAGCTCGCTGTCAGTATAGTTGAGTGTTCATGATAGACACTTGACTACTGGTGTATAGATTACAGGCATTTGCAGAATGTAAATATAAGACCCAGATACCCTTGTGTTCTATCTACTCTTGACTATCTACTATAATCTATCCACCTGTTTCAATTCATACACTTCGTGTCCTACAAAGCTCCCGTCCACTCTATATATGGTCAACTGTTCCCGCCATGCCCAATCGGGTCAATCCCAATCGGGTTTACGGCCGGGCCCATTTGCAGGGCGGTGGACAGCGACCAGAGCAGAGCTTGGATACTCAATTGACCTTGAATCTTTCTCCCTCCATCATGCTCTCTTTCCATCCTAATCCCATGGCCTCCATACCCAGTTCAATGATCCTGTGATGCGACTAACATAACACAACCCCGCCCATCACTCTCAACCCCACCGTGTGGGTGACCACAAACGGCGAATCCCAATCTAGATCTTTCCCCGACCGACCGGATAAGCCAGACACAGCTTGGTGACGTTAATCCGTCCGATTCGACCCTTGCTGTCTGTCGCTTATCAATTGCCGTCCATACTATCACCGCTACAAACTTATCAACCTAAAGAAAAAGCAGTATATCAGCCATGACCCCTGCCAGAGGGCGTGGCCCAAGCCAAAGGAGTCCTCATGTCCTGGTGAGCATCCATTAACCCCCCTGCTTGCCCCTCTCACTCCGGCGCAATCTATACCAAAAATTAAACTAACCACGCCCATCATCATCCAGGTGACCGACTCCCGAGACCAACAAACCACTCAACCCCGTCGTCGCCGCTCCCCCGCAACCCGTTTCATCACAGTCGACAATGTCCTCCAATACACCTCCGACGTCCCCTCCATGCAGCAGCGCCATCCACCCCAAGGCGGCGTTCGGGCGCGGCCGCGCTCCCGTCTCGCTTCCGCCGCGGGCGGCTTAATCGGTGCTGGCGGAGCGGGCTCCTCCACCGGAGGAAGCAGTGCTGTCAGCACAGCAGCGTCCATGAAGCGACTTGCAGCGCAGCCGCGACTGCCCCCTCGTACAACAAAAGTCAGTGAGAAGCTGGTGCTTCTGCCGGAGGCTGGGGACGAATTGCGCGAGGAAGAGGAAGGGGAAGAAGAGGAAGATGAGGAGATGGTGGACGAGGAGTTCGTGCAGAAGATCGCGAAGGATAAGAATCTCGACCCGGATTCGGTGAGGCAGACGTTATTGGCGCAGAAGAAGCTCGATGGGGATTTTGGCGTCGATAATGAGATCGCGCCGTTGTTGGCGGAGGAGGAGTTGATGAAGAGGAGGAAGGTCGCTCCGGAGAAGGCCAAGAGCTATGCGGAGAGGTTGCCGAAGGCGCGGCGCGCGGAGAAGTTGGCCAGAGTGACGGCGTATTGTACGGCGCAGGCTTATAAGATGAGCTCGTTGGCGTCGTTTGTGAAGGAGAGGCATGGCGGTAAGACGAAGCTCTATGATGATTGTTTGTATACGGCGTATCATTTGCCGTTGTTGCCTGGGCATGAAGGGTATAGGCTGAGGAGTAGTCCTGTGCTGAAGAAGCCGGGTGGGAAATCGCTGCTTGATGAGGAGATTGAGCGGAATGAGCTGCGAGATCATCATGAGGATTATATGCCGGAGGCGGAGGAGCATTCGGTGTTTGGGGGGCGTCATGAGCATGGTCCGCACCCGCATGAATCGCATCAAGCTGGTGAAGAGGATCATGCTGGTTCTGGCTCGAGGGAACAGTTTGGTCAAGGTACGGGCCAAAGCCAGCCGGGTCCGACTGCCGGCTCAGCGGCGTCGTCAAGACTATCATATAATGTGGCGGAGATGTTTGTCTTCAGCTACGGAGTTGTCGTGTTTTGGAATTTTACCGAGAAGCAAGAGAAGGATCTGCTGGCTGATTTGGCGTTCGCGACGTCGTCCGCAACGGGATCACCTATCCCACTGGCTACCATGCCATTGCAAGAAGAGGACTTTGAAACGGAGGAGTTCCATTTCGAATATTCGACTGAAATCAAACGTCCGCGTGTCTACAACGACATGATCACTCTGCGCAGTGGCGACCACATGATCAAGCTGGCTATCAGTCATGGCATCGCTCAGAGCACCAAGCTCTGCTTCTTTGAGGAAGTCATGGCTCGCCAGATGGCCGAGGCCAAGGACGTCCCTCGCCGACTTGCCATGACCGGCAACCTAGGAATGAAGCGAGACGAAGTATTCCGGATCCTGGGCAGTCTGTTCAAAAGTCGTGTTGAAGTGAACCTTTGTAAGTGACACACTCGAACTATAAGCTGGATAATTTTCTAATTTCTACAGCATCCAATATGCTTGACGTCCCCAACTTCTTCTGGGAAAGCGAGCCTACTCTCTACCCACTCTACATTGCCGTTCGCGAATACCTCGAGATCAAGCCCCGAATCCAAGTCCTCAACGAACGCTGCCGTGTCTTCCTTGACCTGGCTGAAATCCTCTCTGATTCGATCGCCGACAACAGAACCTCGCGTATGCAATTCCCTATCATGACATTCAACACACAAGCTAACATACACAGATCAAACCTGGATCATCATCGTCCTCATCATCATCTCCATCCTCGTCACCACCTTCGAAGTCTTCCTCCGTTTCGGCCTCCTCTCCGCCCGCGAGAACGGCGCATCCTCAACAATCACTACCATCCTCTCCCGAGCCCTCGGACATACTTCACCCGCACCCGTATGCTCATGCCCAGCACCTGCTGTTCCCGGAGTTCCAGCAGGCATGGGAGCATTGAATACCACCGGCTTGCCGTATTGAATATACCATACCCTACATACTTAATCCTCAATCACACTTTCTCACCACACATTACAATTACATTCACAATAGCAGGCCGGATCACACCATCCATACGGCAACTCGTAAGCATACGCAATCCACATACTCATTCCCTACTTCTACTTTCAAGCGATATTATCCCTTCAGTTATTCAATTAAAGTCAAATTAGCTAAAAGAGACTGGATATATCCCCTTCATTCACTGTACCTATTACACTCACTCTAATCAATCAATCACCCAACCAACTAACTACCAACCACAATACCAAAACATTCTCCCCAAAAACTCATCGAGATTCTATTAAGAAAAATAAGCGGTGCTGCGTGGCACTATCCTATCACAACCTCAGGCAGAAATATCTCCATCTACATATCTCACTTGGTGCCTAAGGCCAGAAATGAATAACATATACCATGGTGCCTAAGGCATCTATGAGCTCATAGCCGGAGCCGAGACGAGGGCAGCTACTTAGGGAGGGAGGTACGTCATCAACCGGGAAGAACCTTGCTAGTGGGTGTTTCAGGTTAAATGAGCTCTTGAGCTCTGTCTAGTTGATGAGGGCTCGGATGTTGGGTAGGAATGAGTAGGTCACGCTATTTAGTTCGTGTCAATCAGGTGAGAGAATGGAAGGTGGTTCCGAGGGAATTTTTTTTTTTTCTTTTTTTTTTTTTCTTTTGTTCTTCTGCTGGAATGTCTACTGCACTGAGTGAGTGCATCTTCAGTAGCGATCGATCGATGTACATTTAGTAGTGTAAGTAGTATACTATAGTAGTAGTAGGTTAAGTCTATCATACATGACAAGGAACAGGTTCATCTACACCTGGGTAATAAAAAGTATAAGAGGCCGTTAAGGGATTATCACACAAAGGAAAATAAGGAAACAACGAATAGAACACGATGATGCGGGGGGTACAAGAGGAAAAAAGAATAGGTATAGAACATATGCACAGATGATGATGATGATGGACTAATAAGCATAAACCAGACCAAGACCCCGAATTCCCAAATCCCATTCCGACCGAGCCATGACACCTTTTCCACCTCTCTATATTTTATGCTTCGTCCTGGTGGTCGTATCGCACATTAGACACAAAAGGAATAACAGAATGGAACAGAGCGGACAACTCGGATCCTGCGCACGCGACAAATCAGCTAGCCCGGACTCCTTCCAGCGCTGGTGACCCACACTGGGAAATGCAAAGATGACGGTATATCAAATATCCAAAAGATGTATGCCATGATGTAGAACACGAGGAATGAACAATGCTGGAACAGAACGATATAACAAAGGAAATAAACAGAAATTAACAAAGGAAATAACTTATATCCGGCTAGCATCTTCAGAGTATACTAGACGTTATGCTCAATGGCGTAGTAGGATAGCAACTCTCCATCAGCGGCCCTGCCGTCTGCTGGAGAGTTTAGTCCACTACCCATATTTAGACCGGAGTCGACCAGGCGCTCTCCATCTTGTGCTTCAGATCATAGCCATCCGGTTCAGTGCTCGTAGGCCGCCGAATGGTCGAGTTGGGGAAGTACATGTGAGGGGGCATGGCGCTCGGATACGCGGGCCCGCTAGTTTCGGGATAGAAGTCGGTTGCCGAGCCAGGCGACGGGATGCTGGCATGCGAAGGGGAAGGCCAACCGAGGCTGGTCATGTGCGGGCTTCCGCTAACGCTATTGGGCCGGTGGTCGTTGTTGGCGGGCGGCTCAAGAGGCTGCGGAGGACCGTATCCAGACGGATGGGAAGTCATCGAGGGACGGGGGTGCGGAGCGCTACCATAACTGGACAACGATGGGGACGTGGCGGTCGGGGAAGCCCGGGGACTGGCCTGCGTGAAACCGCCGCGAACATGGGGCGGAATCGATCCGTTCGGCATGTAGTAGTCGGAGCGAGGCATATTCAAAGGGGGAAGGTCGCCAGCTGGGGAAATAGGGTGGTGTGCCGGAGAGGGAGTGGAATGGACAGAGCCGTGGTCGGAGAACATGTCACCAGGCATTCTCGCTCTCTCCTTGTTCTGCCTCAGATTGGCCTCGGTTTCCGCAGCAGCTTCCTCGATTGTGCCCGTGTGGTGGTTCTGGTGGCGTGTCAAGGTAGTGCGGCGAGTGAATGTCTTCTGGCAGTTCGCGTAGGGGCACTTGTAGGGACGCTTCCCAGAGTGGATTCTGCGGTGTCGCGCCAAAGAGGACGAATCACTGAAAGGCTACAAGTCGGTTAGTCCTGCTCGAAAACCAGCCAAAAAGCATGTACATACCTTGCCACATCTCTCACACATATGAGGCTTCTCTCCAGTGTGGACTCGGGAGTGTACTGTCAGAGCTGAACGTTGGATGAATTGTTTGCCACAGCCGGGCCAGTCACAAGCATGAGGCCTGATACCGGAGTGAATACGTTCTATGCGAGTTAGCTGACTGTTTCCCTACGGGTTCGTGAAGAATGCTTACCGTGCCTTGCAAGGTCACTGCGGCGGGCGAATCCTTTACCGCAAGTACCGCAGTGGAAAGTTTTGGGAGGAGGATCCGGCCTCCCTTGAGGGGCACCGGCGTTCGGTATTTGAGCACCACCGGCATAGGCTCCAGGAACAAAAGGATTCTGCAATAGGGGCAGCCCCGGCCCCGGGTGTGCCTGGTGCGCATAGCGCATATCATGGGCCATGTTCGGCACCTGGCCGAGCGGACCATGAGGGGGGTATGCAAGGACAGCTTGATCACCAGCGTCGGAGACACCAGGTTCCGACTTCATTTTAGGCGATGACGTGTCGAGCCCAGGATTCGGTACCAAATGCTGATGATCAAATTGTCCGTCTGCGGCAACCATGGCGGCAGAACCTTTTCTATTCAAAATAGTTGTGATGTCCATGACCCGACCCCGCGAAGAGCTGAGGGACGGTAGTCAAGGACGGTCGAAGGATTTCACGGTAGCCCGTCTGACGCGTAGCCGCAGAATGACTCCACGGCGCTGATCGAAGGCTGTTGAGTGGCTGAGGCAGGTGTCGAGTTAGCTTCACTGGTAAAGTGCAATGAAAAACAATTGTGATACCGACAAACAGCGCGGCCGTGGCTTGCATGTGGGAGTAACCACTCCCAACAATCAGGCAACACGCTGGCAGAAAGACCGCGACTGCTCCACCAACTCCAGACCGAACACGGTCGAAAGCAAACAGACGTCATGGACAGATGATTTGCCGGGATAAACGGAAATAAATAACTGTATAACTCACCTTGCTTTGCGCTACCCGTAGATCAAGGACTGTCTGTCCTGACAAGGTGTGACGTGGGCGAAGGTGACCGGGATCACGGATTTCTCGTAATCAAGAATGTGAGGACAAGGGCGAGTTGTCAACCCAAACTGTGCAGTAGACTCACGGCTGGGCAGCGAATGACAGCGCGGATGAGGTTCTTGGTTTCGCCGGGTGCCCAGACACTGACTGGCCAGGTTTGGCTTCTAGGAACAGAATCCGAGGTGTTGAGAGAACGGGCGCTTCACGAATCGGAACTTCCGCAGTTGTCTTGTAACAGTAGATTCGGAACCGACCCAGCAAAGACCAAGATCCTAGTTCTGACCTCCACGGATAGCTGCAGCGAAACTTATCCAGCAGTAATCGAAGGGAAGTGGCTTGAAATCACCGGTGTAAACTCGACGAATCTCGGATCGGTCGATGGAACACGCGAGACTGTAATCACCGAAGTGTCGCTACGGCTTGCACGCGAATTTGCGACAAAGTCCGGATTCACTTGGAGTATGTATGCGATCGCAGGAAGTGAATGTGCGCGCCGTCGAAGTGTTTCAGCGGAAAATCCCAGGAGAAAAGCTCAGCGTCTCCGGAGGAGGGGTAAACGGGCAGGACGTAAATTAATCGGACTCGAATGGTGGTCTTATGGATGAGATCTTAAAGGAGGCACAGTAGAAGATTAGTAAACTGCGCGCAACCTGAAAGAATCAAGTGAGAGAAAGGTGCCTTGTGCGCGGCCTGTCCAGTGTCTCAAATTCCTTTTTTTCTTCCCACCAAAACAGGTGGTGAGAAAAATCTCCAGTCCGAGCCCGCTCAATGGACGGCATTGCGCGCAGGTTCAGAAACCAGGAAATGCGACAAATAAGACGCTGGTTCGCACAGAGACGTGACCTGCAGGCGCTCATATCCATCCACATGCAGCGATGGAAGGCAGTCATCATTGACTGGGGGGGGAAATCGGAGGAGAGGGGGGAGGAAAACCAAGCAGCCGCGGGGGGGAGAGCTGCGGTGTGGAAAGCGCCAAAGCAGCCAAGAAAGAGGTACTTACAGAGACCGAGGAAAGAAGTGACAGCTTTCAGGTGAAACGCGGTCAAGATGGACACGGTCTGGGAAGACCCAAAGTGTTGTTGTTATGTTGCGCGCGGAAGGAGGGGATCGACGGAAAGAAAATGGGGGGTTCCGAAGAGTTAAAACAGCCAGCAATGGGGAAGAAGAAGACGAGGCCTGTTCGACGGAGCTTCTCGGGGTTATTCTGACGGGAGAAGCAATAGTAAGGTGAGAGGGGAGGGAAATTCCTCGAGAACCACACGGCCGTGGCGAACCGATGCAAGAGGCGGAAAAGCAAATGCACCCAGCAGGATGACGGGGAAAGTCTGTCTGTCTCTGTGCGTGTGTGCTGTGGGAAAAATAAAAGGGAAAAGCAAGGAGGTTTGACAGGGAGGTAGACAAGAAAGGATGAGGAATTAAAAAAAAAAAAAAAAAGTCAAAAAGGAATTATAAAAAACAAAAATAAAGAGGTAAGTAAGTTTTGGCTTCTTCTTTCTTGGTACAAACCGGAAGAGAAGAAAAAATCAAATAAGATGAAGGGGAGGGAATTTGTAAGGTGAGAGAGAGGTGAGTGATGGGGAAAAAGAATCACTGAATAATTAATGGAAGAATAATCTCTGGATGCTGATGGATGGATGGGGATTGTTTTTGGTCGGTAAAACAGGAACAGTAATAGGTAGAGTCAGAGGAGTAAGTGAGTAAAATAAAATCAGGATAAAATAATAATAATAATAATAATCATAAATACTCAAATCAGTCCAGCAATCAATCAATCAATCAATCAATCAACCGGGGGGATTCGGGGGCTGCAGGTAAATATTAATGGGCGAAAAGCAGCCCAACAGCAGGTGGCTGCTCGTTTTCTTATAGATCCAGTTAAAATAACTTCTTCTACTCCTTCTAGTGTGATCCAAGGTCTCCATACGGTGTGCGTGCCTCACCCGTTCGTCTTATTAGTGAGGATTGGATGTGCTCCTCTCTTCTCCTTCCGACCATCACCACTTGGTCTGGCAGGTAAGTTAAAATTAAATGTTATTATAATTAGTATAGCTGGAGGTCCTTCCTTTTCCTTTTCCAACAGTAGTGGCGGTAAAATAAAATCAGAAATAAAAAAAATCGAAAATAATAAATACTAAAATACTAAAATAACTAAAATAATAATATTAATCTTATTATTATAATTTCACTGACGACTTCTTCTTGACTAGTTCAGTCCCAGACTTACTACCTACTTACTACTGACTACTACTTCCTGCTACTAGACTAACTGCACTACGCTTTTAGTTCACGGAGGCTACCACGACTCTAAGTACCACTACAGCTTCGCACGTTTCCACCACAGGCCCCAAGTGGCTCCAGTGAACTCAACTCGCCCGAAGAAGCTGGCGGCACCAGAAGGTCACCGTCAGCGCTCGGCTCCACAACGTGGCTTTCCCCGTCTCTCCCTGGCCGTGCGAGAATCGCTCCTGCTGGGTGGGTATCGGCGGGTTGATGCCGATCTGAATGAATCAGGACAATATTATTCTTTTTCTGGTGCCGCGGGCCAGGCGATTACCTTCCATTGCTTCCATCCTCCCCGTCACACTTCCCTCGGGACATGCTGTGAAGGATACGTGATGGAAGAAGAACAAGGAATCGCATCCGATAACAACGGTTTTTAGCCGCCCACTCGGAGGAACACGCGATAACCAGAGAACATCCCACGGGACACATTCTGCGCTAAATGAGTGAGGAGGAGGGGTGTGTGTGTGATATAACGTAAACTGGTACAAGGCAGAAAAGAGAGGAACAAGGTCCCCGATCGTGGCTGGTAACTGGGCCCAGGAGTCTGACCACGGATATTGCATCACTGTTCGGAAGCTACTCCTGCACCTACCCCAGGAGTTTCCCTTTTCTCAAGGGGCCTCTATCTGCCCCTGGTGCGCCCATCGAGAGGGGAAAAGGAAGAGCACGGAGGATAAGCCGAAACCAAAAGAAGGACAAAGACAAATGAGAAAAAAGAAAGCAGGAGAGGAAATAGGAAACCAGGTGATCAGATCGGACTGGCTGCATGCTTCAAAGTATCGTGCGACAATGCGAAAAACTCTCCAGCGCCGGCTCCGATCAGGCATCAACCATCACCCTATGGCGTGGCTTTGCTCCAGTTTCGCCCTCCCAAAAATCCCAGACAGGGCAAGAACATCCTTCAGCTTCTTTACACAAGCTCGCCAACAGGAAGCCTTGTTCGGGACGAAACCCGAAAATGCAAATGCGAATAAAAAAAATGAATGGCTCTTATTTGTTGCCAGCCTTTCCTTGGACGAAATTTCAGGGCGAAGCGATCGCTAATCTCGCTTTAGAGTACTAGAGTAACTACTTCACCTACTACAGAAGACTAAAATCAGATTGACCAGCCGCGAAGAGGCATCGCGGACTAACCCCAGGCGATTCGGCTGTTCAACGGAAGATGTGATTTGCCCCTTTTGGAAGAGGGTCTCAGCATGGCCTGTGATTACCGAAAGAACAACGGTGGGAAAGCTAATTTCCTTCTAGAAAGGTTCGAATGATGGGGAATCGGGCGTGGTCCAGGACCTCCTAGAGGAGCTTTGAACGCACTATTACATAGTGCTTCAACCCGTCCCTCCACGCAGGCCCCCCCTCTCTCCTCTTGTCTCCTGTGTCTCCTCTTCCCTCCCATCCGGCTGCAGGGACAGGTCTTCCTCGTCCTGTCGGATGCTTCCTTCCCCATTCCACTCACCGATCTGCATGTCACGTTGGACCACATGCTGACTGGTGCAGCGAATGTGTAGAGAGCAAAGGGCACACCAACCAAGAAGGGGCTAATTCTGAAGCGCAAAAAAAAAAAGCAGGGTTTGATGATACGGAGGGCGGTAATGGGCCGTGGAGTCTTTTCCCGCCCGGTTCCTACAAGAAATGCCCTAGTCCTGCGACTAGTCGCCTAGTCTTGCTAGTCTACGGACCTGACGGAGGAGGCTGCGACGAAGAGTCCACCCGTGCTGCCTCTGGGCTTCAGTCAGGGCTTCCCTCCTTTCTTTCCTTTCCCACCCCTCTTGGTATTTTTCCCTTGTCGACTCTCTTTTTTTTCCCCTGCTTGCTTTTTCCTATTCGGTTGTGACCTTGTTGGTCTCCCTTGCAGAAGACTGACCCCACTGCTACACACACTAACGGACTCGTACATCGTATGGATCCTTCGTGTGAACCAGTCATGATGGCTGCCAAGCCCACTTCGGGCTTCCGGCGACCTTCTAGAAAGAGCTCGGAAGGGCAATGGAAGGCTTCTAAAGCGTCTTTTTTCCCCTCTTCTCTCCCCTTCTGTCCCCCCCCCATGTGCCATTGCGGCTGCGTCACCCACCTTGGGCCGATGGTGGCCCTTGTCTCTCCCTCCTGGCGCTCGTGTCACATCCCTGAGTGGAAGATCCCACGACAACGCACAACGGACTTGGACATAGCCGGCGCTCCGACAGCCAACAGAATAATACAGCAATTCCCAAAGAAAAATAAAAGATACATGATAGCTGCAGACTACTTAGCGAACCCC